ACCCTAAACCCTAAACCCTCGCCAGATCCAGGTTCTTTCAGGTGCGGAGGAGATGGAAGAGAACATCCATGATGCTATTTGGGGCCATGCGGAGCGGCGTCAGGCAGAGCTGATGATCACGGAAGGTCCGCCCTGTTTGCATTAGGCCCTATGTACACCCTCAACTCCACAGACCGGAAACCCTAAACCCTAAAACCCTGTTTCAAGGGATAAGTTGGGCAATATTGGAGACTGAAGGGAAGGCATGCTCGTTCATGGTCGAACCGTAGCCAGAATGAGTCGCAATGAATTGTGTAACACGGCTTAGGCCTTAGGGTGCAAGTGGGCTCCTTAAGTTTAGGGGTGTAGGGTTTAGGGNNGTTTAGGGTTGGGGTTTAGGGCCTAGCTTTTTTGAGCATCGTGTCATCAGTGTCCTCATATTGCACGAGCTGTGCGTAAAGAACATGCTTTTGACCAATTTCCGCGACGAGACGCGCAACCTTGACGTCGGAAGGATCCAAAAAGTAGACCCCTCCCGCATTTTGGGACACCATACTACTCGGGGGTAGTTTAGAAGACTCCCTTAAAGGGCATCCAACCAGGATCCTTCTAGTCTGGAAAGCTAATCTCAGGGCCACACAACGGCTGCTGAAAGGTTTAGGGCTTATGGGGTTTAATATAGGGGCCTTCATAATNNNNCCCCCAAAGGAGTATTGGTAATTATTTAGGCCCCTACAGTAGGATGTGCCTTTGGGAAAAGCTTGCAACTGCATAGGAACAGCAGTGGAAGGATCAGAGCCTACCTTTTCCAGCAAGAGCCATGCTGCTTGCCTTAAACCCTAAACCCTTAACCCTAAACCCAAAGCCCTAAACCCTAAACCCTAAACCCACGGTTTAGGGTCCTGAACAATTACCCATGTTTAGCCTTCGGGTTCCGCCTGATGACAATTACACCATGATATGCCCTGGAAAGCCCTATTCAAACTGATTTTAGTAGGGCCCCCACGAAATTCCTCTCTCCGCTGGCAGGGGTGGCTGATGGTGGAGTTGTTCAAATTCCACAGAAGGTGGATGACATCTACACCACAGATTGCTGGGGCAGGAAGAAGGTGACGGCCAAGGCAAGCGATGTTTTGAAAAAGGCTGGCAAATTGGACGGGGATGCCGGTTTCTGCTGCATATAGGGCTAAGCCCACAGGCGGCACCAGTAGACCTTCGACGGCCTCGGGCTTCTTCAGGAACGAATTAGGGTTTAGGGTGAGGGTTGAGTTTAGCCTTTAATATAGGGGCGTAATGACCAATACTGTTTTGGGGGGCTCCTTATTATAACTATAGCATAAGGGGCCCCAAAACCCCTTTTCTAATTACTAAGGCCCCCAAATTAGGGGTTTGGGGATTTAGGGGTTCAGGGGTTTAGGCCTTCGGTTTTAGGGTTTGGTCTCAACCAGTACCTACATTTCCGTAGTCAAGTTACCTGCCTCCTTGACAACCGCTTGATCCAAAAATCCTGAGTCTTAAAGCCTGTACCACCAGAACTAACCGCATACCCAAGATGTTGCCAATGCTAGTTGGAGAGAGACCCTTAGACGCTAAACACCAGCTGTATTTGGCTTGACAATCTATGCAGGCGACCCGCAAGGGTGTGCTTAGGGTTTAGGGTTTATACGGTTTTGATATGGTTTAATATGGCAGCCTAAATGGATACAGAGTTGCTCATTGGGGCGTAGGGTTTTCTGTCCAGTCGCTTACATTATTTGCAGGGTAGTAACATATAGCATGGTTGATAGACCTTCGTGGCTATGAGATTCTTGACGATACAAGAACACCGTAAACCACTGCAACCGACTTTCCGTGGGATCCTATAGAACCCTCATATGAAGTTTACAATTATAGGGCCCCTATCTAAAACAGTAGGTTTTGGTAGGTTAAGGTTATCGATACACCGGCATAGGTGGCTGCCGAATAGTGACGAATCACTAGTGTTGAGGTTACCTAAACTGGAGGTAACTACAGTCGTCATATGCTTTATTCAACCAAGTAACCCATTATGCACACATTTGGAACCCTAGGCCCATTATGCACACATTTGGAACCCTAGGCCATGTTTTAGCATTTCGCAATCGACGAGTCCATCATTGAAGCCGAGGTCCTTGTAGCTTCGAGCCAGGGCATGCATACTCCAGGAACGTGCAGGGTAGCTTTCGGGCTTGGCTTTCGGGCTTCGCAGATTTGAGATACAGAGGGCTGAGTCTTTTTGCGGGATACAGGGCTGAGTTTTCATCGCATTCCCGCTAGACCCCAGACTGCGGCACATTCTTCCGGATGCTTTACCGATTTTCGTGTTGTGGTCTTAAAATAAGCAACTACGGCACCCTGAAGGGGCAAATGCCTCGGAGTTCCCGAACCGTGCGTCACACAGCCCCTAGAATATGTAAAAGCCCGAACGATTACTCACATTTCTCCTCGGGGCTCCTTGTTCGAGTAAAAAAAACACTACCCCTGCCTTGTCTACTTGTCCAATGCCCCTATAGACAAACCCTAAACCCTAAACCCCTACACCCTCAACCCTATGGACCCCCAAGGCCCTTTGACCCAGAAGTTCGATACTTCGCAAGTTCTGACCCTAAGGCCTATAAACCCCAAAGCCAAAATGTGCACCTACGGGGATGACAAGGCTCCAGCCGTTATGCAGGTCTGATCGACTTCGCACCGGTGGGTTTAGGGGTTTAGGGCTTAAGGTTCACATTGCCTTCAGGTTTTGTTTCGGGTGTTCTTGTTGGAGGGCACCTATAATAGTCTCCATTGTACTTCTTTGTTGGGGGTTACCCTATAGGATCCTTAATACATAATTGGTTAAACCCTAAACCCTAAACCCCTAAACCCTAAACCCAAAAAATCAATGAAGACTATAGGTAATTAGGAGTTTTGGCCTTGCAGGCTGCGCACTTGGGGGGGTTCAGGGTTTCGGTTTTAGGGTTTAGGGGTTTGCGGTTTAGGGTTTAGGGTTTAGTGGGTTTGCGGTTTAGGGTTTAGGATTTAGGTTCAGGGTTTAGGACTTAGGGTTTATGTTCTTAGGGTTTAAGGTTTAGAGTTTAGGGTTGGGGTGTAGGGTGCACGGGCGCCCAGCCCGAAAACCTGCATCCTGGGATGCAGTTGCCTTGCAGCCTCCTCATCATTGGGTTAAGGGTTTAGGGTTTAGAGTTTAGGGTTTAGGGTTTAGGGAGCTGTTGGGAGAGCGCGTGTCTATATTGCCTAGCAGCCAGTAGTCAGAAGACGCTTCCCGAAGGGGACGTCAGTTGTACGAGAGGCTCAAATTAGGGCCCTCGCAAGCTAACTTGCGCTGTCAAGAGTGGGTCTGAGGTACACAAGGAGCCCACCTCAAGACGTGGTAAACTTTAAATTACGAAGCCCTCAGCCCTAGACCCTAATTCTACATCCCAAAGCTCTAGATACACTGAATCCGTCAGCCCATGATCGCAGGATTTGGGATAAGAAGGGGCCGTAAACCCTAATCCCTAAACCCCTAAACCCTCATCCCTCAACCCAAAAGGGCTTTGAAGTCATTCCAAGCCTAAGTCTTCAGGATGTCAAGTCCGAGATCATGCCTGACTGTACAGAATATGGGTTTAGGGCTTGGGGTTTGGAGGTTCATGGGTTTAGGCTTAGGATTCAAGGTTTAGGGTTTAGAGGTTCATGGGTTTAGGATTTAGGGTTCAGGGTTTAGAGGTTCATGGGTTTAGGATTAAGGTTTAGGGTTTAGAGGTTCATGGGTTTAGGATTTAGGGTTTAGGGTTTAGGGTAGCTTCTAGATGGTGTAGGACAAAGGCAGGTTCGCAGGATGGAGCTGTATACAACTTGAGGTGCTTGGTTTTGTTCAGTTACGTGCTTGGATAATCTCACCCTAGCCTGTATGTAGCAGTTGGTGTGAAGATGTTACCCTAAAATCCTAAACCCTAAACCCTAAATCCTAAACCGTCATGTTTAGACACTAAACCCTAAACCCTAAACCCTAAACCCTAAATCCTAAACCGTCATGTTTAGACAGAATTCGACTTTAGCTTTCTTGGTTAATTAGGTCCTATTTTCTTGGTGGACTCCGCTGCCCATTTGATTTTCCGACGGCGCCCGGGGTTGCCTGAAGCCCGACAAGCCGACTCTCCGTACTTGAAACACGACGCTGGCGCTCTGCAGTAAAAGAGGGTTCAGGGTTTAGGGTGTAGGGTTTAGGGTTTAGGGTTTAGGGTTCCTTTCTTTCACTTACAGCAGAACTCAGGGGAGCACGACGCCCGGTAAAACTCGACCCATCTAGGTCTTAATATGTCGTACTTACGCTTATGATTACTACCTTATTGTCTCAATTGCACCTATCTCTGTCACAAGACACTATGCAATATCTCAAGCTTCTTACATTATCCTTTCAGGGTTTGCGTTTTTTTGGGAATTTAGGATGTTTTTTGCATGGCTAAAGTTCATGAGTATGACTTTCAGGCATTGTAAACCCCTTCATGAGGACTCTGCTCTCCGGGTTCCAGCTAAACCCTAACCCTAAACCCTAAGATTCAGGCTCTGGGTTTGTAGTGTGTAGTTCCCTCGGGTCTCTATGGGCAAAGTTTTCGTTACAACATTCCGTCACGGATGAGCTGTTTTTGCTGAACAGCATAGCACCCAAGCTGAATAACCTAAACCCTAAACCCTAAACCCTAAACCCTAAACCCTAAACCCTAAACCCTAAATCTGAATAGTTGCCGAAGAGTCCCCCCGTTGAGTCTCTAAACTTGGCACCACCTTATCCTGCGAATTAAGGCGCCTGTATAACCTGAACTTAAAGCCCCAAACTCCAGTTCTTCGTCTTGGACCCCAAACCCTAAAAGCACTCACCGACATCAATGGCTTCTTTTTTCAAAGCCTGACAACCAAAACTACGAAACCACATGACACCCTAAACCCCAAACCATAAACCCTAAACCCTAGACCCTAAACCCTAAACCCTAAACCCTAGACCCTAAACCCTAAACCCTAAACCCTAGCCTAAACCCTAAACCCCTAAAGGTTGGAACCTCAGGAAAGCCTATTAGGAACCCCCAACCGAACCCCACCTCGAAGTCCAACTAAGTCAAGTGCTCGAGATCGAGTTCGAGTTTAGGGTTTAGGGTCTAGGGTTTAGGGTGTGGGTTTAGGGTTTAGGGTTTAGGGTTTGGGGTTTGGGGTTTAGGGTTTAGGGTTTAGTGTTGGGAGGCGAAGGTCGGGAACGATTTGGTCTCCTCGAACTCGATGTCGAGCACTTCCACCTCCCCTAAATTCGCTCTAGCAAAGCCAGTACCAGATTCCTTGAATGTAAGACTTGTTTAGGGTTTAGGGTGTAGGGTTTCGGGTTCAGTACCAGAATCCTTGAATGTAAGACTTGTTCTGGGGATGGCTCATTTTCTGGTTAGGATCTTGCAGTCGGAAGCTAAGATCACCAGCCAAAACAGGTACCTCATGTACGGGTCTAGGTATCCTCTAACTTTAGGATGGCCCGAACGGCGAAGTCCCAAACCAGGCAAACTTGAATCTAAACATGACGCCCGCTATACAGGGTTCCCGAAAAGTCTCCCTCAGGGGGTATCATGAGCTATACGCTGAGAGGTCTTTTAGATCCTAACTCACGACACCTTAAACCCTAAAGCCTGAACCCTGAACCTTACCTAAACCCCCAACTAACCTCTTATATACCCTAAATACCCACTATTAAGGACCATAAGGGCTTCATTAAAGGGTACTTGGGGGGTCCTTGTAGTCCTTGTAGCGAATCCCAGAAACCTGGAACATGGATTTGGGACGATTAGTGCTAGGACCCCTTATACTTTACTTCACAAGGACATGAGGATGATAATGTTCCAACTGTATGGCTTCTGCCCCTCAGGTTCCATGTACTCATATAGTATATACTTAGGCCTTAAAGTAGTCCCTATATAGGTGCTTTAGATCCAAAGTATATTCATATGGGTACATGGTATTGTAAACCCTTTAATATACCCTAAACACCCATTATGAAGGACCACAAGGGCTCCATAAGCATGTACTTGGAGGGTCCTGGTAGTCATCAAACCCTAAACCCTACCTTAACCCCCAAAAAGCTACGTTTTAAGGACGTATATAAATAAACTATAACAAGGAACCCTAAAAAGGTAGGTTGTTTGGGGTC